CCTAGTCCTTCATCCCGTGCGCCATTGCAGCCTCTGCCTGTTCCGACAGCGTGCTGGCAGTCCGTATCAATAGACATCGTCTTCGGGTTTCCCGAAGACGCTCACCAGAATAATGGCATTCTTGTGTTCGTTGATCGGTTCAGCAAGATGGTTCATCTTGCTGCAGTGCCCGAGTCAATCAAGGCTCAAGGTTGTGCTCGTGTCTTTCTTAACACGGTCTTTAGACTCCACGGGTTACCCCGTGAACTCGTATCCGACCGTGACCCTCGGTCCACGGAGGCATTTTGGCAAACCGTGTTCCGTTCTCTTGGAACACAGTTGACGATGTCCACTTCTGACCATCCTGAAACAGATGGTCAGACGGAACGTGCGAACCGTGTCCTCGAAGAGATCCTTCGAGGATATGTCCACTCGATTCCGAGTTGGAGCGAATTCCTACCCATGGTGAAATTCGCCATCAATAATTCGGTGCATGCTTTCAACACAGCACACACCGTTTACGTGAATGGCCTACGCCATCCACGAGTGCCCACCCTTCTAGAGTGTGACTCTTGGATAAGGGGGGATGGACTCGCTCGAGCAAAAACCGTTTTGGCTCTTGCTCATCACGTGTCGACGCTAACGTCGTCACGTATGATGCCGATGTCAATCAAGTCGACATCGATGAAGCAGATCGCCTCAATAATAGCGACGACGCTATTATTGACTCGGATGATGATGACGATGCTGGTATATTCAGCATCGTCAACGATTGTTCCAGCGAGGAAGAAGACAACCTCGGTGAAGAAGAGAACAATCTCTTAGCAGTGCGCACGAAGCGCACTGAAAGACAAAACAAAGAGTCAGCAGAGAACTTCCTGCTGACTTGAAAAGAGGTAGTTAGTTTCGTTCAGGACTCCATCGCAAATGCGGTGGACCGTCAGAAACGGAACGCAGACAAGAATGGAAGAGCAAATGTTCTTTCATTTAAAGTTAACGACCTAGTACTACTGTCTACGGTAAACTTACCTGGACATGCAGTCACTAGTGTCGGCAGTAGTAAACTACTGCCGAAATACATTGGGCCATTTCGAGTGTTGCATCGCAAATGCAATGCATACACACTCGAATAGCCACGTAGGATGCGCACGCATCCTTTGATTTACGTGGGGCGACTCAGACCGTACTGTCAGTACGAGCCTTCTTCTTCCGATGAAGATAGCCCCCACGATCAAGAACATCCATCAAGTTCTTGCGTTCGCGCTCCAGACGATCCGTCTGGTAGCGCAGATATGATACCTCGGAACTCAACCGAGATATCTCCCCGCGAGCTGTCGCCAGCTCGCCGGATCAGGAGCGGACATCCCGCTCGACCTGAAGCTGCGCTGTGGCGTAATCGGCGCGGTATCTCGCCCGATCAGCCTCGTGACCGTTGCGGTTCTTCCGCACGATATCGGTCAAAGCGTAGCGTCGGTCACGCTCGTGCTTCAAGTCATCGCGCAATTCATCGATTGCGCGATCCATCTCGTAAGGGTCAAGATGGTGAATCGAATCATCTGGAGGAGGTCTTTCCTCCTCCACCACATCCTTTGGTGGATGCTCCCGGTGGTCAACGCTTTCTAGTGAAGCGTATCTTGAATCACCGTGACGATTCAGGATCAAGGACTAGATACCTCGTCCAGTGGCGGGGGTATCCACCCTCTTGGAACAGCTGGGAGCCCCGCTCTCAGCTGTTGATGGACGTTGAAGGTCTCGTCCGTCATTATGACGAGACCCATCCGATGAGTCCTGTGGCCCATCGGTAAACACGCGCCTTAGGCGTTTGTGGACGGATTGCAAGTTTGCAATCGCGTCACGCATCTCAGCCGAGATGTGTGCCCTTCCCCAGGGCGAACTTAGGGAATACACGTCCCTATGTGCACGCTGCGAGTTGTCAGCACAACTCGCACAAGGGTCTCCCCATGTGAGGCAAGGAATGTCTGTCTCACTCGATAAACAGTGCAACCGGTACCTGGCACCGGTTGGTGTTCTCTTTTCGAACCTGAGGCGTGTCGTCTCAAGTTTCTTGAGCCACCCTTCTCGTCCAAAAGTCTTTACGTTTTGGACAAACGCGTTCCACGCAGCCAAAAGCGATGCTTTGTCACGCTTTTGGTTGCTGTTGTACCATCGATGTCTAAGGAAGACATCGAGATAAAAATCTTCTTCAGCGCGAAAGTTGCTCGCGCTGGAACTCAAGCAGTGAAGCTCAGTCGCATCGAATAAGGGTATTCGATGGTGTTGGCCTGCCTTGTGAGTAAAGCTATTGATGAGCCGTTCAGGCAAACGCCACGGCTTGAGCTCATCACGCTTCACAGTGGTATCCTTGTCGGTACCACGATTGTCAGAATGACGATGGGTTTGCACCATCGTCATGTCGCCCGTGCGAAGGAGGACGAGCTGATTGCGGTGATGAGCAACATACTCATCACCCGATTCGTCATCACTGCCGAACAGACTGTGATGCAAATCACGAGTCCGTTCGTTCGGCAGTGGCCTTGGCGAACACTGAGGCGTCGCCGGTGAGCGAGACGCCTCTGGCGCATTGCCCGAGTCAGAAACGTCTGACTCGCCAGAGTAGATGACCTCAACGTCGAGGTCATCATGCGCACACGGTGATGTGCCGCGTGCACCTGCAGCACCTGTTGCTGCAGGCGAAGAAGGAGCAGCAAACGACGAATCGTCTGCCGCAGAGGCTGGCACAGCACCAGGCTGTGTAGGTCTTGAGTCACTTCGCATAGACATGTTAAGTATGCGAGGTCAAGCGGAAAGTGAATGGAACGGACCCAACAAGTGCTCCCTGTACCAATGGTGGCCAACTGGTGGCCTCCATATTTTCGATAGTCACACGGTGACTATCAGTTACGGGGAGGGTGATGTAACGGGGCAGCCCGTTACATGGAATTGTCTCTTTAAAGAAACTATGACAATAAAGAATATTAAGTTGAATATTCTTTGGACAATATCACCGATAGTGGTGATATTGGTGAAGCGACCAAAGGGTCTGCTCATTGGTTGATCTCTTGACGATATCAACCCACCAATCGCCGCAGGACGCGCGCAATGAGTGGTGACGAGACGTCACCATACACTCAGTAAGATTAGTAAAATTAAGTCAGGTTAAACAGAGAGACAGTAACAAAAGACTTAATTATATTAATTCAACGGTTTCTCTTTTACCTTATCTACGCTTCCTCGTTTGCCTCGTGTACGCCTGTCGGGCGCACCAAGACCCTTGCGTTTAGTCCACGCAAGGGTGTGCCCCGTTACAATATCCGACTGTGTATCGACTATCGACGGGTTAATCAGCTAACACAGCTGATGGTGTACTTTATTCCACTAATCAGTGAATTGTTGCAGAACATGGACACTTCAATGTGGTATTGTTAGCTGGACATGGCGAGTGGATTTTGGGTGGTAGAGATGACCGATAGAGCAAGATCGATCTTTGCTTTTATCACGCCGCTAGGTCTATTTGAATGGTTGCGACTACCTTTTGGATTGAAGAACGCCCCACAGATTTATCAGCTTAGATTGATAATGCTCTATATGGGTATCCCAAGATCTGCGCAAATAAGGATGTGGTGGCAATGGATCATTCTAAGTAAACTGATGTGTTTACTGAGGGAGAGCCGGGAAACGGATCAAGCGCCGTCCGTGCTGGGCAAGCGATCTTATATTGACGATACATTGATCCCGGATACGTCATGAATGTCTTTGTACGACAAAGTCGAACGATTATTGACAGCATGTGATCGATGGAATCTGTCGATCAGTCTGACCAAGAGTTTTTAGGGACAGCGTAAAGTGGATTACTTAGGTCATCAGGTATCATTCGCTGGGTTGGAGGCCAATCCTAAAGATCTAGGATCGCTGGTCAAAATTCCTTTTCCCACAACTTTGCGATCCATGCAATCGTTTCTGGGTAGCTTGAACTACTGCAGTCGTTTTATAGAAGATCTTGCAGAACATGCATCTGTATTGTACGAGTTACGAGAGGCGGATTTTTTCGAGATGAGCCATATAAGAGATCGTGATGATATGGCGGGAAGTTGCGATACCACATTACAAGGAGGTGAGCATGATCCAAATGAGCGATCTCGGTGGGAAAGGGCCGCCATTTCATTCACTTTGCTGAAGGCCAAGATCGCTACAACCCCGATCCTCAAACATTTCGATCATGATCGACTTCCAGTGATCGTGGTATATGCTAGTAAGTGGGCAGTATCGGCATCTCTAATGAAATAATATGACGGCGTATACTGGCCGGTGACATTCACGAGTCGCACACTGAAGCCGAATGAAGTTAATCATGGTATGGTGGAGAAAGGGGTTTTAGCCCTACTTTGAATCTTGGAAGTGTGCTACACCATGATAGTATCCCGAGAGATCAGAGTGCTCACTCGATATTCGACATTAGCTGGGCTAATTCAATCTCCTGGCCTCAAAGGGAGACTGATAAGATGGGCTGCGCTGCTATCGAATTGGACACTGGAGGTCAAGATATGTAACAAAGGGAAGGATGAAATAATAGGCGCTCTCGCAGCTAGTATAACTCCGCGAGATGGGGTAGATGATGGGCTGATTACACATGATGTCAGTGTGGTTGTAGACCTTACATACATCCAGATACGTTGACGTGTACGCGAGCCTTCCTCATTAGAAACCATAGTCAGCGTCGCAATTGCTCTCGCCGAGTGTCGTTTAGTGTCGGTTATACTACTCTTTGATGACTGCTACTGGGGCTTTTCCTAGCAGCAGCTACACTTGCATCATCGCGGTTCGACACACTGAAGTGACGAAAGCTTTTGCTTCGCGTACGACGAAGATGAGTGTAAGCTTTAAATACGATGACCACTTGCAAGTGAATGGAGAAGGTCTGTAGCGAGACTCAGTACTTTATGAAAGCGAAAAGAAAGTGATCAGGGCAAAAGTGTCATACTTCGAAAGATTAATGGAGCTCTCTACACTACACCTATTTACCGCTATGTCTTGAAATGGTTTGCACGAAATGCCTTGTACTGCGTCAGAATATTGAAAGCGTTCCCGCCTCTGTCGAGATTGTGCCCACTATCCTTGAGTATTTTTTTGAGATTCTTGGCATCTCCAACTATCGGCAACCATTTTTCAAACGCGGCATTCCTATTAATAGGGTTTTGCGTGGCAAGATAATGCACATACTGCAAAATATCTCCCTCGTGACCGTGGGCTTCTATCAGTGACTCCAGCCCGACTACCACCTCCTGCTTCCCCGCCCTTTCTTCGAGTTTGGGATTCCACTTGACAGAATGCGACGCTCGCAGGGACCGAGTGCCTTCGATTATGCGATCGTCGAAAGGAGAGCGCACACGGAGCGTCGAAGCCGCCGTCGTGGAAATTGCGCCCCCGAGGAGATAGGCCGCGACTGCTACAGTGAGTTCCAGCTTGCCTGGCGCGTGCATCTTCGTTAGAGGGTGTGTCGGGAGTAGACTTGATGTCGCTGATGCGAATTGCAAAATGAGAGAAACCTGGACACTCGATCGGTACAGGCACGTGAGCCATTGAAAAGCTGAGATCTTTTCGACACCTTTGACAACTGCCGATAAGGGAGAAGACGACGCGTGGCTTGGAATGCTACCTCATGAGGCCTTATGACACGGCTCGACGCGGCTCGATGTAGGCATTGCATAACCAGGCAACGCATCTGGCTTCTACTGGATACGACTGCGCAGACCTTTTGTCCCAAATGGGGCTAGGTCCTCTTCTGACGGAAGAGAAGGAGGTGAAGCCCCTTGTGACCCAATGATAAGACGGTGCAGCCCTCTTGCGACACAAGATCGAGCGCAGTCGCAGGAATTAAAGTCGTGATCGGTGCAGTCGTGAGACACAATCAACCCTATCTGTGTACCGTTTAAATCAGTCTGACTTATGGACAAACGCGGCCAAAGATGGACGCCAGCAGCACCTGGTCGGACGACGGCAGTACCTTGAACGGTCTGTAGCCCCTTCCAACAGGGTAGGATTGGAAACGAATATCAAAGAGCGACTACTATAGTCAACAAGCATGACAACGCGCGTCAAAAGCAACGAATCTTGCCGAAACGTTCGCATCAGAATGGTCGCCGGTGGTCGCTTTATTCTCCTTTTCAAGTGAGGGTTCATGACTATCGTTTCGATGTAGCTACCAACCACGAAAACGCCCTGTATCCGCATGTAGTCGCCGGTATTCCGTGCGACGCATCGATAGAGCCTTTGCCTGTGTTACCAAGCGCAATGCGAGCACTCGTGTCAATTTGAGGGATACGTCTGCCCAACTGATGTCGGTCTGGTGATGGGATGAAAATTTTAACCTTGCGAGGAGTAAACAGGCCATTGTGGTCGTCAGAAACTGCGTTCCACGATCAGGAAAGAAGGGAGATCCGGTGGATGCGCTAGACTGTCTGCTGATGTCGCTGCTGCCAGCTGGTTGTAAGGTACGCGCAAAGATTCTAGGGATAGGACTGCAACGAATGCTACCAGCTCTAAGAGGTGAATCGATTCAACGTTTACTCGAGGTAGGCAGACGCGAAAACTTTGATGATGATGCTGGCAAACAGTATCATCGCACCAAGCCACGAACCACCCGCAGGCTCTAGCCGAGTCACTCTCTAGCTCAATCGTCGCAAGGCGTGCGGCACATGGTATATGTACGAAGCGGTACGACAATATGGCCTCAATAAAAGTACCCCAGGCTGACCGGAACGGGTGTTTCTCTTAACCATCACTGTCTCTTATCGCACCGATGGACAGCTGGCTATCTTTTCGACAGACCTCGGCTACCAGCGCCATCATTCGTACCCTCAAACGAGAATGAGTGTAGGATAGGTCCAACAACCCCAGCACGCAGGTAGACGGACGGAATGCACAAGCCGTTGCATTGGACTACGGAAGGTGGATGGAATGGTCACAACTGGCACGTTGAATTCATGACGCACTTGGATGACTACGATGCGAGCAGGTCAAGCCGATCATCGGCGCCGGTGCATAGATCAATCCATTCGTTTCAGTAGACCCAAAGTGAAGAAGTTGTACGACACGCCCGTCCCTGAGCAAATCCTGAGTGAACCTACAGTCATGATTGTGAGACACCACTATTCCTCGCGAGTGCCGACTTCCCAATCTAGGCTCTTTGAGCAACAACGGACAGAAACGGAGATCTCCTGAGAGCCAGTCAGTCTTCTTCCCTTCTTTCCTTGGACGGGAAGTCCCACTTAATGGGGCCAAGGTTAAAAGTAGGAATGCATTTTCTCCGCTGCGCGTGCTACGAAAGACAATGCAGCGTGCGGCACAAAATTTAACGGGGCACACCCTTGCGTGGACTAAACGCAAGGGTCTTGGTGCGCCCGACAGGCGTACACGAGGCAAACGAGGAAGCGTAGATAAGGTAAAAGAGAAACCGTTGAATTAATATAATTAAGTCTTTTGTTACTGTCTCTCTGTTTAACCTGACTTAATTTTACTAATCTTACTGAGTGTATGGTGACGTCTCGTCACCACTCATTGCGCGCGTCCTGCGGCGATTGGTGGGTTGATATCGTCAAGAGATCAACCAATGAGCAGACCCTTTGGTCGCTTCACCAATATCACCACTATCGGTGATATTGTCCAAAGAATATTCAACTTAATATTCTTTATTGTCATAGTTTCTTTAAAGAGACAATTCCATGTAACGGGCTGCCCCGTTACATCACCCCCCCCTTAACTGATAGTCACCGTGTGACTATCGAAAATATGGAGGCCACCAGTTGGCCACCATTGGGACAGGGAGCACTTGTTGGGTCCGTTCCATTCACTTTCCGCTTGACCTCGCATACTTAACATGTCTATGCGAATTGACTCAAGACCTACACAGCCTGGTGCTGTGCCAGCCTCTGCAGCAGACGATTCGTCGTCTGCTGCTCCTTCTTCGCCTGCAGCAACAAGTGCTGCAGGTGCACGCGGCACATCACCGCGTGCGCATGATGACCCCGATGTTGAGGTCATCTACTCTGGCGAGTCAGACGTGTCTGACTCGGGCAATGCGCCAGAGGCGTCTCGCTCACCGGCGACGCCTCAGTGTTCGCCAAGGCCACTGCCGAACGAACGGACTCGTGATTTGCAGCACAGTCTGTTCGGCAGTGATGATGAAGGTGATCAGAGTGGTGAGGTAAATTACTCCTTACCGCCGCCGGCTCGTGCGTCTTCGCACGAGCGTGATGACGATGGTGCAACCCATCGTCATTCTGACAATCGTGGTACCGACAGAGGTACCACTGTGAAGCGTGGTGAGCTCAAGCCGTGGCGCTTGCCCGAGCAGCTCATCAATAGCTTTACTCACAAGGCAGGCCAACACCATCGAATACCCTTATTCGATGCGACTGAGCTTCACAGCTTGAGTTCCAGCGCGAAGAACTGTCACGCTGAAGAAGATTTTTATCTCGATGTCTTTCTTAGACATCGATGGTACAACAGCAACCAAAAGCGTGACAAAACATCGCTTTTGGCTGCGTGGAACGCGTTTGTCCAAAACGTAAAGACTTTTGGACGAGAAGGGTGGCTCAAGAAACTTGAGACGACACTCCTCAGGTTCGAAAAGCGAACACCAACCGGTGCCAGGTACCGGTTGCACTGTTTATCGAGTGAGACAGACATTCCTTGCCTCACATGGGGAGACCCTTGTGCGAGTTGTGCTGACAACTCGCAGCGTGCACATAGGGACGTGTATTCCCTAAGTTCGCCCTGGGGAAGGGCACACATCTCGGCTGAGATGCGTGACGCGATTGCAAACTTGCAATCCGTCTACAAACGCCTAAGGCGCGTGTTTACCGATGGGCCACAGGACTCATCGGATGAGTCTCGTCATACTGACGGACGAGACCTTCAACGTCCATCAACAGCTGAGAGCGGGGCTCCCAGCTGTTCCAAGAGGGTGGATACCCCCGCCACTGGACGAGGTAGCTCGTCCTTGATCCTGAATCGTCACGGTGATTCAAGATACGCTCCACCTGAAAGCGTTGATCACCTTGAGCATCCACCAAAGGATGTGGTGGAGGAGGAAAGACCTCCTCCAGAACCCCAGGCCCACCATCTTGACCCTTACGAGATGGATCGCGCAATCGATGAATTGCGCGATGACTTGAAGCACGAGCGCGACCGACGCTACGCTTTGACTGATACCGTGCGGAAGAACCGCAACGGTCACGAGGCTGATCGGGCGAGATACCGCGCCGATTACGCCACAGCGCAGCTTCAGGTCGAGCGGGATGTCCGCTCCCTTTCCGGCGAGCTAACGACAGCTCGCGGGGAGATATCTCGGTTGAGTTCCGAGGTATCATATCTGCGCGACCAGACGGATCGTCTGGAGCGCGAACGCAAGAACTTGATGGATGTTCTTGATCGTGGGGGCTATCTTCATCGGAAGAAGAAGGCTCGTACTGACAGTACGGTCTGAGTCGCCCCACGTAAATCAAAGGATGCGTGCGCATCCTACGTGGCTATTCGAGTGTGTATGCATTGCATTTGCGATGCAACACTCGAAATGGCCCAATGTATTTCGGCAGTAGTTTACTACTGCCGACACTAGTGACTGCATGTCCAGGTAAGTTTACCGTAGACAGTAGTACTAGGTCGTTAACTTTAAATGAAAGAACATTTGCTCTTCCATTCTTGTCTGCGTTCCGTTTCTGACGGTCCACCGCATTTGCGATGGAGTCCTGAACGAAACTAACTACCTCTTTTCAAGTCAGCAGGAAGTTCTCTGCTGACTCTTTGTTTTGTCTTTCAGTGCGCTTCGTGCGCACTGCTAAGAGATTGTTCTCTTCTTCAGCGAGGTTGTCATTTTCCTCGCTGACATAATCGTTGGCGATGCTGAATATACCAGCATCGTCATCATCATCCGAGTCAATAATAGCGTCGTCGCTATTATTGAGATGATCTTCTTCATCGATGTCGACTTGATCGACATCGGCATCATACGTGACGACGTTAGCGTCGACACGTGATGAGCAAGAGCCAAAACGGTTTTTGCTCGAGCGAGTCCATCCCCCCTTATCCAAGAGTCACACTCTAGAAGGGTGGGCACTCGTGGATGGCGTAGGCCATTCACGTAAAACGATGTGTGCTGTGTTGAAGCATGCACCGAATTATTGATGGCGAATTTCACCATGTATAGGAATTCGCTCCAACTCGGAATCGAGTGGACATATCCTCGAAGGATCTCTTCGAGGACACGGTTCGCACGTTCCGTCAGACCATCTGTTTCAGGATGGTCAGAAGTGGACATCGTCAACCGTGTTCCAAGAGAACGGAACACGGTTTGCCAAAATGCCTCCGTGGACCGAGGGTCACGGTCGGATACGAGTTCACGGGGTAACCCGTGGAGTCTAAAGACCGTGTTAAGAAAGACACGATCACAACCTTGAGCCTTGATCGACTCGGGCACTGC